AAATATCTTTAAAAAGAAATATAGAAACATCTATAAAAAAAAGTTCTTTAGAAATATCGAAAGAAAACAAATTTGTTGAAATATCTGTAAAAATATCTGTAGAAATATTTAATTAAAAATCAATCTGTTGAAAAATATGTAATAAGATCAGTAGAAATATCTGTAAAAGTTCTATAGAAATATCCATAAAAATATTATAGAAATATATGTAAAAATATATTGAAATACATGTGAAGAGGTCTATAGAAATATATGTGAAAAATTATATAGAAATTTATGTGGAAAGATCTATAGAAATATCTGTAAAAGATCTATAGAGTGTACAACCTAAATCTGGTGTTCTCCTAATTATAGATGAAATCATGGCTTCAATGCTCATAAAATAATGGGTTCAAGTTGGGGGTGAGAGAAACCAAAATAAAACAAAAAGGTTTATGTATAAATATTTATGAATCCATCCTGGGTATACAACATTTTTTTTTTACTAAAAACCAAAATACAACTGACCAGTCATAAGTTGGTTAGGACCAGATCTAGATATAGAATAGATTAGACGTACATACACTTGACGTATACAAAAAATCATTGTGAATGTCCCCCTAATAGTAGTACTGTGTTTGTAGGTGAAGCTCATTTTAAAAACCTGAAACTGACAGTCACCGACGTCCAGTGGACAGATGTCACGTGTGCATCTGACCTGGATGGGACCCAATGGCCGAAGGTATAAAATGCTAGTTTTTTTACATTTTTTTTTTCAAAATTATTCTGAGGATAAATAAAGTCATTATGACCTAAGAAGAAAAAGTCATTATGGCCTAAGAAGGAAGAGCTTCCTTAAGATTATCTATGCTTTATAATTTCTGTTTTCATTACTTTTAATTATGTCAAGATGTGTAGTTTTGTGTTACACATACATTTTTCTAAGCATTTATCATAGTTAAGTAAATCATTTTGCCATAGAATTAAAACATTTCCCATGTTTATCTCTGAGCCACAGAATTGAAGAATTCCCATGTTTATCTCTCATGATCTTCTTTTAGGCTGCTGCCCAAAATACCAGCTGTCAAGGACAGCACTTCGACAAGGTCAAGGCCAAAATAGCCAATCAAGTGGGATCACATGTGACCATCACCTCAGGTGCTGTTAAAGGTGAGTTTGGTCAATGTGTGCTCTAATGTGATTGTGTGATGTGTTGTGATATTTGAGTGTTGTGATTTTGTATGAAATGAAAGGTTGTGATGTGTGGTAAATATCAGTTGTGTGTTGAGTTTTAAAATATCAGCTTCGCGCTGTCTTTTGAAAGGAGTTTAAGTTGTGATTTTAAAGAATACTATTTTGATGATTTCTGTTGGTATTGTACTGTTAAGCTATCGGCCAGTCACTGTATGTTGAGTGTAACACAATTTATTTAATGTTTGAGTACCCCAGCTTTTTCCCTGTCTTTTTTAAAGTCTGTGTTATAGCTTTTCCATTTTGTTCCCTGTCTACTGAAGGTCTGTGTCATAACTTTGCCATTCCGTTGTCGGGACTCCCCAAGCCTGTCATTGACTCCATTGGGTCAGCAGTGGAGGTTGATGTGGGGACTGCAGAAATAAGCACAGATCAGACGATGGAAGCGTTTATAAAAAGTCCCACCAAAAAGGACCAAACGGCTGGAAACTCACCCCAGTCGTCTGCTGGAGCTTCGGGATCTTTTTACACTGGTTAGTTCCAAGTTGTAAGCTTTAAAAAAAAACAATTTTTGTCATAGATTTTGTGTACACTTTATGAATGGTCTTTCTGAACACTTCATGAAAGGGCTTTGAGAACACTTCATGAATGGTCTTTCTGAATACTTCATGAATGGTCTTTCTGAACACTCCATGAATGGTCTTTCTGAACACTTCATGAATGGTCTTTCTGAACACTTCATGAATGGTCTTTCTGAAGACTCCATGAATGATCTTTGAGAACACTTCATGAATGGTTTTCTGAACTCTTCATGAATGGTTTTCTGAACTCTTCATGAATGATCTTTGTGAACACTTCATGAATGGTCTTTCTGAACACTCCATGACTGGTCTCTCTGAACACTTAATGACTGGTCTCTCTGAACACTTCATGAATGGTCTTTCTGAACAGTTCATGAATGGTCTTTCTGAACACTTCATGGATGGTCTTTCTGAACACTCCATGACTGGTCTTTGTTTTGTGAGTACCCCAATCAAGTCCGTGTCAGCTGTTCGCAACCATGTTGGCCTTGAAGATATGAAATGGATAGTCAGAATCACAAACAGACAAATCCTCCATAAAGTCGCTCTCTCTCATTACAAACAAATCAATTATCCAGAAACTAGTTCTTTTATCGTTTCCTTTAGATTTCTTTTCTTTCATTTCTTAATAATATGTATATTGTTTTTAACGTTGGGGGGGGGGGGCAAAATAAAATTTTAAAAAAAGGCAATTTTAATTTTTAAATTTTTTAAAGTTTTTAAATATTTTTTTAAATTT